AAAGTCTTCAGATTACAGCCTTCTGGAAGTCGTCAGATTGTAACTTCCATCATCGGTGGTTGATGGGGGATAAGCTATCTATTGTGATTTTTAGACAGCCTACAATGGTTGGTTGTCATCATCAAAAAGGGGGAGATTGTTAGCCCTTATATTTTGATGATGATTTACAGCCACCATTATCGATACTAATTGCTTGTTGAATAATATTATAGTTGATATGCATATCAAGCTTGTTAGTACCATCGAAAGGAGGATTGGATGGAATATGAGCTACAACGTTTATATCTATAGGAGGTGGAGGCAATATGATGAAGCTAAATGTTAAACAAGAACAATACATACAAGTGGAAGCTTCATCAACCCATAGCAATATCAAGACTCAAAGAATGTAACTCTATGTGAGGATATTTGCTAGTCCTTTTTTTCTTTTCTCTCTAGTACTAGATTGTAGGCAAGAAGTCATAGATTTCATTTGAAGCTTTTGGGATATCACACACACTCTTGATATCACACACACTCTTTCACACTCATATTTTAAATGATTTTGACAAAATATAGTTCTTCATATATATAAGGATCTATGTGCAAAATTTCTTAACAAAACAGCTTGTTTTTAATAGTAAAACTATTTTACAAAGTTATTCTACTTTCAGAAATTATCTTGGATTTTTTCAAAGACAAAAACCTGATTTCAAATCCTGTATATGCCCTGTATCAGTCCACAGTCGACCGGACGTGGTTCGGCGGTCGACCGTGAACAGGTCTGGCTATTCATTAGCCTGGAAATTTCTCGCGGTCGATCGGACATGGCTCCGCGGTCGACCGCCAATTTTCCAGAGACCCAGCTCTGATTTTCATCATCTCACGGTCAACCGTCAGTGACGCTGCGGTCGATTGTACTTTTTCCAGAGATTTTGAGTATTATCCAGTTTTTCTTACGGTCGACCGCAGGTGGCTCGGCGGTCGACCGTGACTTTTTCAGACTGTCTTCTAACGGCTAGTTTTGGCTCGCGGTCGACCGCCATTGACTCTGCGTCGACCGCCATTGACTCTGCGGTCGACCGCCGATCAATAACGGCTAGTTTGTCAGACTTCCTGATTTTTAGGGATTTGGGTTTTTGGTCTTTTTATAGGGGTTTTTGGCTTCTTCTTTTAACTTCCTATATATATCCAACTACCTCATTTATTTCAGAACTAACTTTGCAAGAGAAAAATCGTTTTGTGTTTAATTCTTGAGTTTAAGAGCCTTGACTTTCAAAATTCAATTCCCTGTTTTACACGTGCTCATTCCCAATCCAAAGCTTCAGTGCAAATCTCTCTCCTTGCCATAAGGCTGTTGTAAGAGAGAACAAATTCTCCAAGTGCTATTGTTGGTTGTGTGGAGATCTCGTGGAGATCGATTGTGTCGTTGTGAGATCTCGTGGAGATCGCTGTGTAGAAGAAGTTCCGGCTTCCAAACCGGGTTGTGTAGTGGATTCTCCTCGAGAGTGGGGAGCGGGGACGTAGGCTAGAGAGCCGAACCTCGTGAACACATCGCGCGTCACTTAGATAACTATTTCTATCTCATCTCCTTTTATTTTATCATAATATTGTGTGGTGTTTGGTTGACTTAATTTTTATTGCATAATCATTGTCTTTAGACCCTAATCACCCCCCTCTAGGGTCCAACAATGTTAACTCTCATCCAAACCTGTTAACTTTCACTGCTTTATGATGATGAGGAGGAGAACGTTTGGCAGTCGGTTGATGTTTGGAAGAAAATCGGCAATCAGACCTTTGAGTGCTTCTTTTAGTTGATTTTTATGTTAACTTTTTAGCTGAACATGTTAATGTTCATCATAATATGTTAACTTTCACTGTTACATGTTAACTTTCATAATAATATGTTAACTTTCATAGTTACATGTTAACTTTCATAATAATATGTTAACTTTCTTCATAACATGTTAACTGTCAGCTGAACATGTTAGCTTTCATCATAATATGTTAACTTTCTTCATAACATGTTAACTGTCAGCTGAATATGTTAACTTTCATTATAATATGTTAAACTTCACGATTTCATGTTAACTTATAGCTGTGATACTTAACATGCTCTGGTAAAAGTTAATATATATCTATGATACGTAACACACGACATGAAGAGTTAACATGTAACCGTTAAAGTTAATATTTACGACTTGTCTATGTTGTGGAATCTGAAATCATAAAACTAACATCACACAAAGCTAATTTTAAAAAAGAGGTTATTAATTACTTACATTTCAGTTAGAACTTTCTGTTTTAAAAAAAAACAGAACTCTCTATATTAACAATATGAAATGAGCGTTAGAGAGAAGAACATGGTGCCGAACAGATGGTTTGCAGGAGAGAGGTCCATGTCTAGGGTTTTGGAATAATCCTGGCGTTAATTAGATGGTTTGCAGGTGGATCCCAGACGAGCAGCTCTGCCCTACGGTGCCGAACAGATCGAACTACATCCACTGGTGTATATGTTGGCTGAAAATGTTGGCTTTAACCTGAACATGTTAACTTTCACGTGAGCATGTTAACTCTCATCTGTATATGTTAACTTTTAGGTGTATATGTTAATGTTCAGATTTATATGCTAACGTTCATGTGAACATGTTAACTATCAGTTGTATATGTTAACTTTCATCTATATATGTTAATTTTCTTACGAACATGTTAATTTTCAGCATAATATATTAACTTTCACTATTATATGTTAGCCTTCTTTATAACATGATAACATGTAATTGAATATGTTAACTTGTCAAATATATAACTTAAGTATTGGCTTTTCCTGTTGACATTCAAGTAAACATGTAGTTTTTTATTTGAACATGTTAAATATATGTTGTATCAAAACAATACGTAAACATATGGTGGAAAAAATACCAGAAAATACAATAAGAACAATAAAGGTCAAGCTTGCTGCATTGTTTGTCATCTACATCAACTGTTTACATAACTAAACTAATATACACAATACAGACATGCACACAAGTTTTGGTTTAACCAATCAATTTTTAGAACAACTTTCTCCCATCCCTATCAAATGTCTCTGCTTGATTCTTCGGTTGTCATCCTTCTATTAGAAGTTCAGTTGCTAGCCTGACACGGATGACATCAGACTTAGCATCGGGAATAGTTACTTGATTCGTATCAATCTCATGGATTATAGCCTTCATATATTAACGGAACGAAAATTCCATAATCAAAACTGCATGATATAAAGTAGCAAGCTAGTTAGATATATGATGTTGTATAAAATGAAAAAGATTAAATTTGTGAAATACTAACATTCCAGTGAAAACAACCCCTCGTTAATTTCCTAAATTTGAATTAGGATCACTAATTGCACATGAGGTTCACTGTGATCAAATTTTTGTTCAATGGTTCTCATATGATTTCATTTCATTTCATTAAGTTCATAAATGTGCTCTTTCCACCATAAATGAACTCTATTCAAAGAAGAGTGGGTTAAGAGGAGATATAATGGAGGGAAACCGCCAAACTTTCCCCCCAAAACCGCCATCACTTCGCCTTAATTGCGATGGGAAGCGATCTTCAGCAATCGGATCTCGTTTTCGAGGCTAGGAGAGAAAGTGAGTGGGTATTTTCGGGTCTTTGGGTGTAAATACGGGTGAGAGAAGCTATCTTAGAGCTCGGTCACATTATTTCTGTTTTTAAGGGTTTTAGCATATAGGCTAAAGTACCTGGGGCTGGGCCACTTAAAAACTCTGTTTTAGGGCCTTGAAACAATTTTTCCTTTTTTCAATGTCTGCTAAATATTTGTGTTACGTTTTAAACCTAACTATTAACATGCGAATGTTGCTCAGTCCTATTAAATCCACTGTTAGTTATTAAAATTAACAGATGACTGTTAAGTATAACAATTGGATTCTAGCATTAACAGGTAGCTGTTATCATTTATAGATAGTTGTTAACTTTTACATTTATTTTATAAATTTACTAAAGTGAAAGTAAACATAATATATTTTCTTCATTATTATTAAAGGTATGAGCGCATGGTAAATGAGACAAATCCAGACAACTATATTTGCACTAAACAGAATGAAGGAAGGTTCTTAAGACTTTTATTTGATTGGGGCATTATATGTAGAAGTACACCTATCCGTTACTGGCAAAGGGCTGCACTTTGGCGATTGAAAACGCCATAACATCAATATATACTTTTTGTATGTTTTGAAAGTTTTAGGATTTTATCATAAATTTCAAAAATTTTAGGATGTATTTTGTATTTTTCAAAACTTTTATGGCTTTTTCTGCAAATTTAAGTTTGTAGGAGGCTATTTGTATGTTTTGAATTTTTTAGTGTTTTAATTTTACATTATTAAGGATGTTTTTATAATTTTATAATTGTATAGGCGGCTATTTATAATTTTCTACTTTATAATGGATCTTATCAATTTTGAGGGTTCAGAGGCTTGTTGTAAGTTTTAAAACTTTTTATGGGGTAAAATTTACCCTATCATATGTTATTCCATCTTTACCTAAGTTTGTTATCCTTCTAAAAATTCACCAAGGATAAATTTTGACCCTGTATAGAGGAAAACTTTTTAAGCATGTTAGGGGGTAGGAAAAAAGGAGTGAAAAGTTGAGGTTTGGTTCGTCTAAGCATGTGGAATTATAAAAACCCTCTAAAAAGTTCTAAAGCTTATAACAAGCATCTTTTTTGGTAAACTTTTAACCAAGTTAGGGGGTAGGAGAAAAAAAGTGTGAAAAGTCGACATTTGATTCATTTAAGCACGCAGAATTCCAAAAATTCTCTAAAAGTTCTAAAAAACCCTTAACAATCAAAATTTATGAAAATACTTGCCCGTAAGTCAGTGATCTTTTCCGGGTTTTTTATGTAAGTTTCTTATTTTTGCCCTTGATAACGGGTGTGACCGCACGCATGGGCCTGACGACCCGACCCGGCCCGCTCCACCCGAATCAATCAAAACCCTAATAAAAATCCCCGAGCGAAAGGGGGGAAAGGAAAGACCCCTCGGCTTCCGCCTCCGCCCTAATCGCCTCCTCGCGACTGTCCGACGGCCCACAACGAGTACGAGTCTTCTCCCGGCGGCGGCGGACCTCCCGTACGACCCGACTTCGTCCCCGACTCGGTGAAGACGTTCGTTGGTGCACCTGTACCGCCACATCCGCGACAAGAACGTGTACGAGATCCACCAGATGTACGAGTCGTCGTTCCAGAAGCTCAGCGACCGGATGTTCAGGGAGTCGCCGTGGCGGGCGTCGACGCGCGTGGGCCCCCTACGTGGACAACGACACGTGTTCTGCCTCCTGTACCGCGAGATGTGGTTCCGCACGTGTACGGAGGCTGAGCCCGACGCCGAGCAGAGCGGTGGAGAGCTGGGACAACTACTGCAGCCTGTTCGGCGTCGTCCTCCACGGCGTCGTCAACATGCAGCTGCCCAACCAGTGGATCTGGGACATGGTGGACGAGTTCGTGTACCAGTTCCAGAGCTACTGCCAGTACAGGGCTAAGCTCAAGATGAAGACGGAGGAGGAGCTGCAGCTGCTCAAGCAGTTCGACCAGGTTCCAGAGCGCCTGGACCATTGTTATTATTATTATATTAAAAATAAAAATCCGATTTTGACCTGATCTTCCCCCCCGCGGCAGGCTTGGAACGTGTACGGCGTCCTCAATTACCTGCAGGCCCTCGTGGAGAAGTCGCAGATCGTCCAGATCCTGGAGAGGGAGAAGGAGGGGGACGAGGGCGGGAGCAACGTCCTGAAGATGCTGGGCTATTACGGCATGATCGGGCTGCTGAGGGTCCACTGCCTCCTGGGGGACTACCGTACCGGTTTGAAGTGCCTGGAGCCCATCGACATCGCCCAGCAGGGCGTCTACACCATAGTGATCGGGAGCCACATATCTACCATCTATCACTACGGGTTCGCCAACCTAATGCTGCGCCGGTTAGACCCCCGCCCGCCCTGGGATTTTTTTATTTTTTAAAGGCATAAACCCCATTCATTTGCAAGGAATTTTCGAGTGTGCTGATTTTCCCTTTGTTGTTGGAAAGGTATGTCGAGGCGACACGCGAATTCAATAAGATCCTGCTTTACATTTTGAAGTACAAGCAGTATCATCAGAGGTCCCCGCAGTATGATCAAATACTGAAGAAAAATGAGCAGATGTACGCCTTGCTGGCGATATGCCTTTCGTTATGCCCCCAGTCAAAACTTGTCGAGGAGAATGTGAACACCCAGCTGAAGGAGAAATACAACGACAAAATGCTGAAGATGCAGAGATACGACGACGAAGCGTATGCTGTCTATGATGAGCTTTTTACGTATGCCTGTCCCAAATTCATCACCCCTTCAGTTCCTTCTTTAGAAGAACCCCTTGCAAACTACAATCAGGTATTCAACTGGTGTTTGTTAAGTCGCTGTTTGTTCTGTTTTGTTTCATAAGCTAACGTCTGTGCCCTGGCTAATACAGGATGCCTATAGGCTACAGCTGAAATTGTTCCTTTATGAAGTTAAGCAACAACAGCTACTAGCAAGTGCACGCAGTTTCCTGAAGTTGTATTCTACCATATCTGTTGGAAAGCTTGCAACCTACATGGAAGTGGATGAACCCACTTTGAGGTTTTTTTTTTCCTTTCCTTTCCTTTCCTATTATTTTCTCAATCTTTGTGCTGTACAAGAAGTAGGTTTACATCGATTAATCCAAGCCTTTAGTTGCATATTGGTTGGCTCCATGGTCAAGAGTAGTTACTGTCACTCTATTACTGTTTCAATCTAGTTTTGCCTGCACCCGCATCTTCTTGTAATGTCCTTTTCAAACTGCTTATTACTAATTGTAAGTTGTGTTATGTACTATGTCCGATCGATCCTTCCTCTTTTTACCCTTAATGGAAACAATCACTACTTCGTAAATTTACTTTCTGTTGCTGTTACCCATCCTTGCATACTCAGCTGCTACTTAATATTTTTTTTCAACCTTCTTAATTTCTCAACATCTTTAGTGAATAAAAGATGGCAGTTGTCATAATCATCGAAACAAGTTTCTTAAGAATACCTGGGCATCCTCGGTCACAGTACTCTAGGAGCACTTCTTCGCTTCAGCATTCTATTTCTGAATATTTTCTTTTCAGAAACATCCTTGGTCCTCACTTTCAATACCAGGATGAATGTCAAGCTGGAAACAATATAAACATCCCTCTTTTGTATGTTTTACCTACCATTGTGAATTACTCTACGGTTCTTTTTATATATAGTTTTGCCAAATCACGTTTCATATGTTCCATGCTCATCATGTTAATCGTAAGTTCTTAGATTTAAATCTCATCCAAACATGCATCGTATAGAAATTATCTATTGTCTGGTCTCACAAATGCGGAGCTTATTTGAATTTCCATTGACCTGTATTTATTCTCAGGCCATCTTAAAACATTTTATTTTTGGCAGAGCAATTTTGATGACGTACAAGCATAAAATGCATTCAGTGGATAATGATGGAAAGATCATCTCTAATGCAGATGTCGATTTTTACATCAATGAGGTAAACTTTATCTGTATTTAAATTAATTTTTATAGTTGCCAATGGAAGATTAAACAATTTAAGTTGTGAGAATTTTTTTGAAGAACATCTGGCCATCAATAGTCGTTTAAAAAGTGTGCTCAAATCTTGATATTGATTAAATTTTACTTGAGCAGTTCCTTTTCAGATTATTTGCTAGATTAAACAGAATGCTAGCTACTGACAGATTATTTTCGACGCATTTCTTAGCGTTTGCATCTACTCATTGATATCCAAGCTTTTCCTTCCATCTGAATGTATTCAGTAGCTTTAAAGCCCGAGGCTGCACTCACATTTAAAAATCTTTACCACACAATGAATCTGATGCCAACCTTTTAATTGCCGGTAAATTCTTGCCAATGAATTCTTGTATAAATGAAGAGATTCTGTACATCTAAAAGGCCGTTCAGCATGTCGAGAAATACCTAACTTATTTGGTCCTTTAATTTAAGCTCAGGCACTCAATTGAAAACTTCCAAAATTCGTCCTTTAATTTAAGCTCATGTGCTCCATTGGAAACCCCCAGACTTTCTCTGAGACTACAAAGGCACAGAAAATGTTCTAGGTTCCTGTTCCTTTCTGATTTTGTTATTTTGAATGCAGGACATTATACATGTTGTTGAGTCCAAGTCTGCAAAACGCTATGGTGATTATTTCTTGAGACAGATCTTGAAGGTACGAGGCTGAAGAGCACAACAGTCAATATGACTGTCCTTCCTTACGAGTCACACTTACCAATTTGATTTTTGTTTACTCATTGTCCAACCTTTTTGCTTTGTGTTGTGTAGTTTGAGGAGATAATTGGCGAATTGGACCGAGTGAAACTGGACTGAGTACTTTTCTGGAGATAACATCACCTTCTTTTATATGTTAGCTCTCGCCTTTTTCTATTGTTTTGTCTTTTAACTTGAGGCTCATCTGGACTTTTGACTTACTAGAAATGTTTTCAGTTATCATGTGTGCTTCAACATCGAAGGCTTATTGTTTATTTTTTGTTGTATGAACATGGGTGAGTATCTATATTTATGAATAGCTATTGTACCCTTCGTTGTCCGCTCTGGCTACTGCTATTCATGCTTTTGTAGTTGTTGTCTGCTATCGTAGTATTGCTTCTCTGTACACGTTATCGATCGTGTGGTACGAATATAGTAGTAGTAAGGATTAGGAACATTGTGCTTAAAAAAAAAACAATGCACAACGAGAATGAGAATGTCCAAAACTAGGACAGCAAAATGAGTTAGCCTCGTAGGATTTGGTGGTTTCTCGTGTTTATCCTTTGGCTTTGACGAGGCGAGAAGATTTCCTTTTAACTAATTATGTTCGTCTGCATTTTGTCACATCTCATGCAATTCCATTACTGTAGGGGGATAGCGGAGCACGGTGCTCTAGCATCTTCGAGCAACCAAGAAGGCTCTATTGTGCCTCTTGAACTCTTTATATACAGTTGAAGGCAAGTTGTGTCTGCCCCCTTTTTCACTTCCCTATTCTTTGAAAACAAATCCTATCAGAACCATCCTATATATATATACATAGGGAAGCGAGGTAGGGTATGCATCCCAAACTGTGACCCTCCTCTATTCACCCTTGAATGGTGTCGATCACCCGCCCTGTTGTATGTGTTGTTCTGACAAGATGGATCTTCATAATCTTGATTCCAGCTGCTTTAACCGACCCAAAATGTCAATGGCGAGCCGTTGGACTTCTCAATCCTCCCAAGTTCTCCAATTTCTCTATATAAGAAAATTTCTTGTTAGTCACAACTTTAGCAGGAGCCTTCTTCAAGTTTCCGTCATCTGCGCTACCTGTTTCTTTTTTCTCCGCGTCCGCGTCTTGATCCAAATGCCACCCCATGAAATCGGACAGCGTCATCGAGCTCGCCTCCATGTTGTTTAGCTTCTCAAGCTCTTCTTTTGGGTCCAGCTTCTTTATCGGTTCGTCAAGCGTCTGCTTTCTGTCCTGCGTGGGGCCCACAGCCTGGGCATCGGCGTCAAGGACGTCCTCAATTTTCGTCATCACAGCGTGAGCCAACGTTTCTATTACCCTCGAGTAGCTCTCAAGAACGGCTTGGCCTACATCCTGCACAAATTTTGTCGAAGAGTTATGCTATTAAACAAACAAGGTTAATAGAAACTAAAATACCATACAGCTTCTTCTCTTCTGCTTGGCAATTGCTTCTGACAGCACTTGCATACCCTCAAGTTCTTAAAATTTTCACTCGGTTTGGTGACCTTCGCTCGTGCGTGCAAACGTAAGGATATTCTCACGCCGCTAGTTTTAAAGCTCTTGAACCTTTGATATTTTGTAGAATGTTATGTTAGATCTGTCCCAATTCTATTTTCAAAATAGAACCGGGGGAGGTTTAAAATATAATAATTCGGGTGAGTTTTAACAATAAATTCAACAAGCATTAAGGTTAGCAAGCTCTGGAATTAGAATGTAAGCGCCTCACGTTTGCATAATCGAAGGTACCGAAGTGCTAATTTTAATTTTAAAAACTTGCGGATGCAGAAGTGCTATGAGAAACGAGTGGGGGTATATAAGTGCACAGTAGGGGAAACTATACTGTGTTTAAAAGTGCTAATTAGCCAGCAAAAGATAAGAATGTGTTTTAAGTATTTTCCGCATTTCATCTTCTTACCCTATTGAATTGGATCTTGCTGATATCGAGGGTCGATTGAGAGATTCCAGGGAATCTATGCTTGATGAGATGCAAGATGGTCTCTGCTCTCTCTTCAAACTGCTCTCTTTTCTCGAGGCTTACAGCTGAACCCCAAGATTTTCCATCCTTGTTGTGCATCTTTCTCTTCCAGATTACTATGCTTGCCTCGATCCGGTTCTTGAGATCAACAACTTTGTGTTCTGTCGATAAATCCACGGACTGAAGAAATTGTATAGGATCAAACACATCCACTGTTATACTCCGATATATCGCATCTCCAAGACTCGCTCTCCCGTTCTGTCATTTACATAATCAGACGAAAATTTATTTACAGAGAAAAAGAAAAGGGTTATTGCAGGTAGCCCCCCTTGGTTATAAGTCCTATTTTCAGTGAACTAATTAATCTTTCCCAGGGGGGCCAATATCTGCTGAAATTTACCGAGGATACAAGCGTGAGGAATGAAACTACGGGAGTAGTAAGTTCAACAGCATTATACTGCAAGGGTGGTCTGTGTGCATTTATGATATCTTGAATCGAGCATATGTACCTTTGGTAGGCCTTCGATATATGATTCAGGAATCTCCATTTCCATCAGAACCTGGGCGTTGATCGCCATCGCGGCCTTGAGGACTTGATTCACCGATTCTTTCTGGAATTGTAGCCATTTTCTCGAGACGTCGGATAATCCTTCTGGAGGGACTTTCACTTGAGGAAGCCACCATTTATCGTTCCCGGGTGCACCATCTTTTTCAGCGTCATCGGTATTCTTCTTTACATACCAAAACTCATTCTGATCTTTGAAGTTGTCCAGATACCCCTATTTTTTTTTTCATCGTGATGAACGATACCAGAACAAGTAGAGATAAAAAAGAAACAAGGCTAAGTTTCACACAACCCCCTTAAAGTTTGGCCCATTTTGAGACAACCCCCTAAACTTCATAAATGTCATGTCATCCCCTTAGCCTCTGGGGCTTGTCACAAAACGCCCCAAACGTTTTCAATTTTTTCAACATAACCCCCCTAACAGCGTTGCCCCTAACTTTCAACATTATTTCAAACCCCCCCTAACTTCCGACATTATTTTTAGGAGGCCCAAATTTTGAACATTGTTTTCAGAAAACCTCTTCAATGAACTTTTGATAAAGTTTCAGAAAACCCTCATCATGCCATGAGGGAGGTATGTTGAAAACTTGCGAAAGTTTGGAGGATTTTTAGAAAAGCCCCAAAAGGTTAGGGTGGCGGCGCTAAGTGACATTTATAAAGCTTAGGGGGTTATCTCAAAATGGTCTGAACTTTAGGGATTTTGTGAAACTTACCCGAAAAATCACTAAGTGATGTCGACAACTAGATTACTTACAAGAAGCATGGCGTCGAGCTTGCGCAATGCTGGAATGTTCATTAGGAGATCTTTACGTTGTTGAGTCACCATTATCTGTTAAAAAAAAGTTTTAGTTTTTTTTTGTATATTTAGAAGAGAAATTGAATCAAAATACTCATAGCGGAGAGATTCGTGACCTCCATACTGGTTCCGTCCTTTGATACTTGTTGTGAAGCAACGAATTCGACGATATGATCAGTGACTGAGAGGAGCCAGTCGATTTCTCGCCTCCATCGAGCTTTTCTTTCAGCAGGCATTGGCTCTAATTTATTTTGTTCACTGAATACAGAAGCTGAAAGAAAATGTGTCAATGATAATGTTGGAGATGAGACTGAATGAGTTTTTGTTTCATGACAGGATATTTTTTTTCTTCTGTGAGATGAAGGGGGGCAAAAAAAGGAACATTGAAACTGAAATGAGTTGTCACAGCCTTGAATATATTACAAAACGCAAGTGAAAAGTTTAGCTAGATTCTTTTACAAGATTTTTGAATTAGTTTCAGGGTCTTGATTATATAAAACCAAACTGTCAAAATGCCAGAAAATTGCATCGCGTTGTCCCAATCTAAAGTCACTGAATCAGCCAACTGATTTCATGCGATGCTTAAACAAAATGATACCATGAACTCGCAGCAGCAGCAGCAACAACAAACATAAAGCTGAGAGGCGAACAAAATAAGAAAAAATGATGACGAAATTGTTCATAAATATACTTATATATTTACCAGCAAGATTAGTGATGGCATTGGAGAGAGCCAATGCTGATGATACCCCTTTCCCTCCACCTGACATGTCTTCACCCAAAAGCAGCTTTGAAAACCTCTCCTTTATCAACTCAACATCTGTAACATATCATAAAACATCAACCAAAATGCACATCAAACGAAAAAGGAACAATCATCAAAACATATTGGTCTCTTAATCATCATGCCAAGCAGAGTTCGATTGCATATACACCTCTTATATTCTTAAGGAGTCAGCCACTTACTATTCTAAAAGTTTCAGCATTTGTAGATCAGCCTCATGCTCTAATTTTTAATTTTTCCCTTGGTGAAACTAGTGAGCCTATCCAAGAATACAAGAATCAGGACAGAGATTTTACACGGGAGTCTAACCACAATATTTTATTAGCACGTAGACCCTCTGATGTTCAAACGGGGTTATCTAGGATACCTGAAGGTCCTTGACGACCTGAGCTACTTCCACCGTCCTTACTAAGCCGAGACTTTGGAACTATCTTACTCATGGACCGATCAAGGGCCCACCCGATCTGTTGACCATCAAGATTCGAAGCATTCTTCGAACCTTGACTCCTAAACATCCTCTCATCCCCATTTTCACCTCCGTCCCTGTCTAATATCAGGCTATGAGCCTGTCTCCCTTCGAACATCGCCTCCTCCTCGTTGACCGGCGATTTACAATGTTGACTTTGTCTCTTTTTCAGCAGTCGAACCATTAATCGCCCCAAAAGGGCGAGCCTGAGGTGGTGATGATCATCGCGGCGATTCAAGATGGCAGAATGTGATTCTCTTGATGGTGCAATGGTTGAATGTTGATATTCAGTTCAAAAAAAAAAAAAATGGTTGAATGTTGATTTCAATAATGGGTTTGTGTTAAGGGGAGGGGGGAAGAGAGAGAGAGACCCTTTGGTTGGCAAAAAGGACGCAAGAGGAGACTTTGGGTTGGGAAAAGAGAGAGAGAGAGATTTTGGGGGAGGTAAAGCTAAATTTAATCAACCAAATTTCTGTTTTTTGTTTTTGTGGACGTGGGGTGCATGTTTGAGGAAGCAAAGAGAGGTCGTTGAAGGATGAAAGGATATTTGAAGAATATACAAGTGTTAGGTTCTTGTATGACACAAACCCGGAAAATAGGCTTTTTTTCCCCAAATTAGGAATAGAGCCCCCCCCCCCCCCCCCCCCCCCCCCCAAAAAAAAAAAAAAAAAACCAAAAGTTTAGGGGGGCAGTTTTAAATTAACAAGATTCAAACAGAGATTTAAGATTTTAAGATTCAAACAGAGATTTTAATTTGCGTATAGAATGGTTGACTTGAAAATACGTTCAAGTTGCCAAGTCAGAGAGGTACAATTATTTAAGATTTTAAATTAATCAGATTCAAACAGAGATTTAATCATCAAAGCCTCCATCTCTTTGCCAATTTCAGTTTTTTAGTATTTCTTTTTCTTTCTCTACACTATATGTGCCTGTTAAGCATCAATACAAAAAACAGACTGGCCTAAACCCAAATTTTCCATCTTACACGTGTATATACATTCTCCTCAATTCTTCCATAAAATCTGTCTCCAAAGCAACCAATCCTCTCTTCTTCCATAAAATCTGCTTCAAATGCAGCCAACCCTCTGTATCATTCATGCTTCTACATCAATCATGTTTCTTAAAAAAAAAAAACTGAAAATTGAATAGATTTCCTTCCAAAATAATATGATGCTCGGAATGTTTCGATTCTGAACATTCAACTGGGCCCCCTTTTTCTTTTTTTTATAACCCAATCAGCAATCAAACCTAAGACTGTGTGACCTATGTTGGAACGTCCCAACCGTCCGGATCAACCTCGGTGGGTCCATTCAAATGGATTTTGCTTACAAGGAAACACTAACAATACTACAATCGGCAGCTACTTCCATACTGTAAGAAACAGAAAAATGCGAGATCTTTCCTTTGTGAATTGCTATGAACATTTACTAGTCATCATGAATCCTACACATTAGTAGAAAAGTAGTTTAGGAATATTCACCGCTCTTATTTTAAATTTCGGCAGACCCACTCATAAGGGAACAATAAATATGCTTCTACTGCATTCATAGCAACAAGTAACAGTTTTTGGTACTACTAGCAAGTTTAATGAGATTCATAACTAGACTACAATGAACACACTGAAGGTATAGGACGACATATGAATAACGTATTTGCACGATAATCTGCAGCAAGCCCACTCCTGCACTACTCTGATAGAACGAGCTGGATAAAATACAATAGAATTACCATAAAATGAAACGAAATAATCAATCTCTGAGCTCTCTATAGGGCGCATATACATCTACTTCTTATATTAACAATATGAGTACATATTTACTTCGGTGCAACAACAAATGTCATCTGCAACTCTTTAAGAGATAGGAGGATTGGCTTGAAAAGCTTTCTGAGAACTCAACACTGCTTACTTTACTGTTTTCTATTTTTTTACCGGGTGAGGCACACTCACTAAAATCAAGAATACGACCCTCCACCTGCAAAGCCTGCATGTCAATGAAAAAAAAAAAAAAATACTTGTAGGTTTAATCATACAGATTACACTGAAAGATTTGCGAAGTCCTGGAAGCATATTTTAAATGAGAATTGGACAAAAAAACATAAGGATCAATGAGAGTATTATACCACATTATTTGGCGACATAGAATCACAAATATCTGTCCCTTTGCCAGACTGATGTCCTTTTAACAACTTCTCACTGCTTGCACATCTCTTTACAAAATCTGCATCAGGCTTTCCGCTAGCCAGAACCTCACGAGCCTCAGCCACTGCAGCTGCACTTTGCTCATTTAACTGCCTCATTAGCCCAATTGCATCATAGGTTCTATCACCCGGGCTCATGTAATATGGAATCTCCTGGAAAATAGAGGAACATGGACTAAGCTTTGCTTTACAAGGAAATAAAGGGTAGGTGTTAGAAGATCTTTAATTATTCTCAACAGCAAAGTTTTCAGCTGACAATCCATTCCATTAATTTCATTTTTCGATGGCCTTCTACTGATACAGAAACATAACATTGTATCAAATGAAACAATTAACAATTATTTACTTCATCAGTAAACAACTAAGAACTTACACCTTGCAGTAAAATGTTACATGAACTTCTAAATTCTGTTAACTAGAAGTTTATTCATCTTCTGTGGACCCTCTAATACATTTTAAAGCTTAGTTGTACAAAGGTAAAGAAGCAACATGCGTTCTCATCTTCGAACCTCAGATGTAAATGATAAATCCTCACATACTTTAAGTTCACATAAAGATTCATATATGGGTACAAGCCATAGATCAGAGTATGAAAAGCACGCTTTGCAGTCTGGGATGCAATTACAAAATCTAAATTACTCGAAATCCCTCCACAGATCTGGTTCAACATAAAGTACAACTCTGCAGTTAACTTTTCACCATCTAACACTGTATGCAGCGGAATTATCAACAGACTATGCAATTTTACGACAAGGTAAAGAAAAACAATAGACTTACATAAACAAGAGACAAATATGAAAAACAAGCACCGCAGACATATTGGCTGCCTGGTGCACAATGCTCCCGCTATGCCTGGATGCAACATAAAGTACAAACAACCTTTTTGCTCATTCAGAATCTTCTTCTGCCTCATAAATTTTTGGAACCCCTAATTTCCAACCCCTCCCTCTATCATCTTCTTCTAAATCCTAATTCGGAAACTTTAATTTCCGACCTCCTCTCCCTTGAAAATTTCTTAACCCCAAAATTATTCTATAATATATCAACCCGGAACTTCCCAACTTTAAATTTTAATAAGGGCACTATTGCTGGAAAATGTTGCAAGCCAATACTGATGCTTGTTATGAAACATCAACAGAGCACAAACATTGAATTGGACAGGAGTTGACCTTTAGCAATCAAAATAAGCTACTCCTTACTGCTGCTACATGATTTATAACAGAACTATGTAATAATTGATTAAAAATACAAATTAGAAGCGAAACTTCCTTGATTCTTTAAGCGAGGATATTAAATAGAAGGAGGAAGTATGAAGCACCACTCGGTGACAAAGACAAAGCTAATGCAAATCATTGGACTACCTCATGAAAAGGATCTATCCCAATCCCATGCCCTGGCAAAAGAGAGCTCATGAACCAAGGTGACTTCCATGCTGAAGGTGATTCTATACCTCTTTTGATGCTAGGGGTGTCAGCAAAACTGCAAGGACTAAAGAATCACGATTACAGAAGGAAGAAGGGAACTCTCCATAAAAAAACTTAATATAAGTAAAATTGTAAATTAAATACTCAAATTTGTACCTGAGCTTATCTGAATTTATTAGCATTGATATAAGAAATTACTATATATGTTTCTGTTTTTCCAAGTAAAATTTCTTAGAATCTCAAGACACTGTTTGCTTCAAAGAAACATACAAGCATGAGAAGAGTGTCAGCTCACTGCATGCACCATAGCATCATCCTAGCGTGAGAAGAGTAATGTAAGACATCACATAATAATCTGCATAAAAGTGCATGTTTGAGTTTCCACGTGACACCCCAATGTTTAATCCCTCAATGGTAGGTGAGCGAACGCAAGAGTGATTAATATGATGAAGTCATGGGCTCAAGTGCAATAGATGCACTTTCACTGATGGTTCAGCTAGACGACGTGTTGCACTTAGTGAGTCCCACAGCTTACATCGCACCAATAGGCTCGCAAGCTTGGAGCGTAATATCAAGATTGGTGTCTTTGCTTTTGTCAACAAAATCAAGCCACCGAAAGCAGGGGCTGTTTTTTGTTGACAAAGAAAACACCGAAAGGAAAAATAAGAGCAAGAATCAAAAATGGAAGGAAGAAAAAAAGGAGGAGGAGGGGGGGTATACGCAGGCTATAAAAGCCTCCTTCCTCCCCCCTTAATCAATATCGAAAAAAATCAGCTGAGTGTATCCTGATCTACTGAGTGTTTTGAAAAGAGAGGCAAAATCAGAGAGTGATTTTGTGAGGAAAAATTCTAGAAATATTTCTCTTGTGAGTTGAGTGTAAAAACACTTGTAAATTTTCTCCCCTTAGTGAAAGATCTGCAGCATCCCGTGAACGTAGATAATTTTGTGCCGAACCACGTTAAATTTATGTCTTATTATTCCCATTTATTTCGCTTTCTCGTAAATCTGGTTATAGGGAATTTTGTGTTAATTTCCCAACAACTGGTATCAAACTTCTGGTTGTGATTTTTGTCAATTTTCTACAAGGTCACTATTCACATGAATAGTAAATTTTGTGAATAGTAAAACTTTATCGGCGGTACCGATTTATCGACAAAGATGTCTTAATACACGGTGGTTCGCAGAAACAGTAAAAAACGATCCAGAGAGTGCCAGATTCGAGTGGGAGCGATGACTGCAGATAAAAGGAATGTTAAAATTAAAAAGTTCGATGGTGCGGACTTTGACTTTTAAAAGATGCAGATCGAAGATTATCTGTACCAGAAGAAGCTGTATCAATCTCTCTCAGGAGGTAAGCCAGATGACATGAAGGATTAAGAGTGGGCTCTTCTTGACAGACAAGCCCTTGGAGTTATCCAGTTGACGCTATCCTGCAATGTTGCTTTCAACATAGTAAAGGAAAAGACCACGACGGGTCGTATGGCGGCTCTCTGCAGCATGTATAAGAAGCCCTCTATCTCAAACAAAGTTCACTTGATGAGGCGGCTGTTCAATTTGCGGATGACAGAAGGCGCATCAGTAGCTTACATCTCAATGAACTCAATACAGTCACAACCTAGTTGAGTTTAGTTAGAATTGAGTTTGATGAAGAAGTATGAGCATTGATACTTTTGTCTTCTCTATCAGAAAGTTGGAATGCTACTGTCATAGCTGTAAGTAGCTCATCAGAAAGCAATAAGTTGAAATTTGATGATGTTCGTGATCTGGTTCTTAGTAAAAATTTGACGGAGAGAATCGGGTGAAGCATCAACCTCTTCATCTTTACACACGGAGTCTAGGGGAGAACTTCAGAAAGAAGTTCAAATCACGGTACATCAAAATCTAGAAGGAGCAAATCTTGATCGGGAAAGAAAGATTTTAATTGCTATAATTATGACAAGAAGGGTCATTTCAAGAGGGAGTGTCGGGCACTGAAGAAAAATATAGACGCACAGGAGTCTGTCAACGTGACCGAAGGAGGAGGTGATGCTATGATTCTAAGCATCAACAGTCCGATTGAATTATAGATTCTTGATTCAGGGACATCATTCAATGCCATCCCATGCCGAGAAATCATGGAGAACTATGTTAGCGGTGATTTCAGAAAGGTACATCTAGCAGATGATGAAACCTTAAAGATTGTTGGTAAGGGAGACATCCGATTAAAATTATCAAATCAGACCACATGGAAGTTGCAAGGAGTGAGACATATCCCTGGCCTTAAAATGAATTTGATTTCTGTGAGACAGCTTGATAGAGAGGGTTACTGTACAACCTCCTCAGGTCATGAATGGAAGATTACCAAAGGAACACTCGTTATTGCTCGAGGTAAAAAAATAGTACTCTCTATATTACCTCTAACTTAGAGGATATTATTACAGTAGATAAAAAATTAAGCCTATGGCACCAAAGGCTTGGCCATATGAGCGAGAAAGGGATAAAAACACTTCTGTCAAAAGGGAAGCTGTCAGATCTAAAGAATGTAGATATCGGCCTATGCGAGGATTGCATCTTTGACAAATAGAAGAAAGTTAGTTTTGTAAAGATTGATAAGACACCCAAGATAGAAAAGTTAGAACTGGTTCATACCGATGTATGGAGACCATCTTCAGTTCCATCTTTTACAGGCTCATTGTACTATATCACCTTCATTGATGATTCTACAAGAAATGTGTGGGTCTATTTTCTGAAAAAGAAATCAGAAGTCTTTGATACCTTCAAAAAATAGAAGGCCATGATGGAAAATAAAACTGGTTTGAAGATAAAGCGGTTAAGGTCAGACAATGGAGTAGAGTACAAAGATACTAGATTCAAAGAATTTTGCGCAAACAACGGGATCAAGAAAACAGTTCCCATAACACCGCAACAGAATGGCGTAGCAGAGCGCATGAATAGAACTTTGAATGAACGTGCTAGAAGCATAAGAATACATGTCAGCTTGCCCAAGTTTTTATGGGTTGAAGCTATCAATACCGTAATCTACCTAATCAACCGCGGGCCCTCAGTTTCCTTGGATGGTGAAATACCGAAAGAAGCTTGGAGCAGAAAAGAGGTAAACCTTTCGTATTTAAGATTTTTTGGTTGTATCTCTTATGTACATATAGATTCTGTTGAAAGAAATAAACTTAATACCAAATCTAACAAATGTATTTTTATTGGTTATGGTGGTGATGAGTTTGGTTACCGGTTTTGGGATTATAAAAAATAACAGATTATTAGAAGCAGGGATGTCATATTCAATAAGAATGTGATGTACAAAGACATTACAAAGACAGATCAATTGCAGAATCAAGTAGCTCCAGTACAAAAGTTGAAACAAAGAAATTTGTTGAATTTGAGGAGATTTTTAAAAATGATGTTCAGACTAGTCCTGAAGTAGTTCAAGAAGAACCAAGCACGCCAGAAGTGAGACGCTTCTCCAGAATTCCTAAGCTAATCCAGCGTTATTCGTCTTCTTTGCACTACTTGTTGCTGACTGATAATGGTGAACCGAAGTGTTATGATGAAGCAATGCAGGTGGAGGATTCAGTCAAGTAGGAGTCTGCTATACAAGATGAGATAGACTGGCTTATGTCAAATCAGATGTGAGACTTAGCTGAATTACCACCAGGTAAGAAAGCTCTTCATAATAAGTGAATTTACAGGATCAAAGAAGAACATGATGGGAAAAGCGCTACAAGGCAAGGTTGGTTGTCAAAGGCTTTCAGCAAAAGGAATGTATTGACTATAATAAAATTTTCATTCCGGTCGACTACAATCAGACTAGTGTTGAAAATTATAGCTACTGAGAATTTATATCTTAAACAGTTAGATGTAAAAACAACTTTCTTTTATAGTGATTTGGAGAAGGAGATCTATATGAAACAACCAGAAGGCTTCATAAAGACAGACAAGAAAAATTTAGTCTGCCGTTTGAAGAAGAGCTTATATGGATTAAAACATGCTCTCAGACAATGGTACAAAAAGTTTAACAACTTTATAGGTAGCAACTGTTTCACTAGATACAAAGCAGATCATTGTTGCTAACTCAAGAAGTTTGATAATAGCTTTATTATTTTATTATTATACGTTGATGACATGCTCGTTGTAGGTTCAGATACAAGAGATTATAAATTTGAAGCGAAAATTATCAAAGCAGTTCGCAATGAAAGATCTTGGTGCTGCAAAGTAAATTCTTGGAATGAGGATCAAGAAAGACACGAAAACTGGGACTTTGATGTTATCACAGGCTGAGTACATCAACAAAGTACTCTCCTGGTTTAATATACAAGATGCTAAACCAGTGAGTACACCTTTAGGTGTTTATTTTAGACTTTTCAAAAAGCAGTCACCAAAGAC